CGAAACTGGCCTCGTGGTACGTTGTTTTCTAATTATCATACCCGTGCCAGTACGCAGTTACGCACTTTATATTTATTTTTATATCGCGATCCGAAGGTTTCTCGCTTGCTAAAAGATCATCTATCGCGGGATGTTTGTCTTGTAATCGAGCGTAAATGAGAAAATGTGTGACTCGACTCTTGAAATAATTTTTCAAATCAGTTCGCGCGATCCGAAGCGTTACGACAATAGCGTAACGTCAATCTTGTAATTCTCCTTTCGCTTTATAATATTATTTCTCGGAGTGTTGCCTATCAAAGATTGGTACAAGAGCGTGCACGGCCGACCGCGTGCGGTTCTGCATTTTCTACGTATTAACGCGTCCGTGTAATTCGGCGATATAACTTGCGAAGAAAAGAGACAAGTGACGCTGCGCGCGTCATTATTTCATTAGTATCGTTATTAAAGTCAGGCCCAACTACCTAATGGCCGTCGCTCGGCAATTTGTGGCTAAGGTCACGCGATTCCTAAGGTAGCAGCGAATTCGTGGGCTTGCGTTAGAGCGAGCACGTGTCGTGTCACCGATTCACGGAACTTACGGGATTAGTTAGAGCGGCAAATATCGCGAGTCGCGAGAAAAGATGATAAAGAAATTATTTATACGCGTACCCATACGCATACGTACACGTATATGTTGTAAGAAGAAATTACGAATAAGGAGCACAGTGACAACTTAGAGACAAAAGAGGTACGCGCGTATCTATCGTACAATATAGGTGTATGTATACGAATAACACTAAGATTTACCGATTTATTTATTCGATCGTCCATATATGTTTTCATTTTTCACCAACGTAACGTGAAACGTAATATCGTTTTCTATCGAAATTATAATTTTTATTTAATATGTAACGATTTCAAGTCGTTTCTTTTATTCGTTGTTCGACATTTGTACCTGTAATAGATTAAATAGATAAAGATGCTGCCAACTCTGATGGAAATTCGCCATGGTTCCGGTATAATTGTACACCGCACCGGCGGTTCGGCTTTTCCGCTAATTTGTGTCCCTTCCGTGACGGCACGAAAACTGGAGCGGCGAAACGTTTGTGTACATTCGTCTTATTTTATCTGTTTCTTGGTAATCAGAAACAGATAAATTTCAATAAAAATGAACTTTCACTTTGTTTGCCAATTGGCGCCCGACAGTTTGTAAATGCTCCGTTGACAAGAGATCGCAACTCACATTTGATCGACGAGCGCGCGTGGTCCCTGCATTTTTCCAAGTATCGTGCCGGTCTTGCTGTTCTTCACCCAACCGCAAATCCCCAGTTGTTGGCATATGTCCCTCACGTACTTTGGAAAATATACACCTGAAAACGCGTTAGACTGCGATTAAACGGCTCAATGTGAAAATGTTTACGTATTCGACACCGCGTCGACGCCGTCCCCGGCGACGCCGACTCGTGCGTTTAGCAAAACAAACCGCGGATACCGAACTAATTAAACTGGTAAAAGTGGTCAGTTTGTTTTGCTTTCTCGAAGGCATCCCGACTTGATAGTTGATATCGTTTAAGATAATTCCGAGTCGTTCCCGGTACATCCGCTTTTGAATAAAAGAAACGACTAATCGAAGGTTCCTCGCGTCACTATGATCTTCGTATCTATGTACCTTTCGTCGTTTTCACACCGCAACGGTGGTGGTATCTCACGAGTCACAAATGACACTTGACTCTAACGCTAACGGGTATCCCACGATTTTCTTCGACTTTCATATTACCTTTAGAGAGAATCGTTTGTAAAGACAAAGCAGGGCATTCAATTGCCGATCCGATTACGGCGTATACGCGATAATCTTTTGGCCAATAAGAAAATGTATGCTTACCCTGCACCTTGCCAAAGACCTCGAACTCAACGGAAACTAAAGGTTCGTTGCGGAGGGGGTCGTCCGCTGCCATTCTATTAAGGGCGAGAGGAAGCTAATCACCTTGCAAACACGTCACTTATTTAACTCGTGAAACTCCGAAACGCTTCGGTGACGCACGGACGTTTATACAAATCGAATGCAAATTCTACTCGTCTTCTTGGTTGCGACTACTGTATTTCTCTCGTTCTCTTTGACGGCACTTTACCTTTTCCCGTGATGCGACCTACCGACTGATTCTGATCTGATCATTGCACCACGGCGTCGCGACGCCTCAAATAGACTCCCCACTCCACGGACGAAAATCCAATTACGATCGATCGAGAATCGATCGGAGCGGCCGCGGCGGACGCGACCCCTGCGATAATATACATGTATCGTATGTACATCTCGTATACCTAAACTCGACTCTTCTCAAGTACGGCGAGTCCTTTGTATGAGTTTACGTGTTGAATTTCTTCCCAAGTATTCTTTCTGTGATGAATCGAATTTTAGAGATACGTATGATGTACATATATCGTAAGGAGAAAGAAGCAAAATCTACCACGAGCCAAGAGCGTATACAGTGTCGGTCAATATTTGATTAATCCGGTATGATTTGTCATTTCTTCCAGGATCTTTAATTCGTCTGTTTTCTGTAATACATTTGATACACGATCTTGCAACTAGTTCGAAAAGTTGATCGAAACTAAACAGAGCTGTGTGCGCTTCTTTTTGAAAATACACAAAAAACCAAAAGCGGGGATATGATCACGTGCCTATGCGAGAATCCGCCGTACTTTTAATTCGTCCTTCGCCCTTCGTTTCTCGCAATCCGATCGTTTCGTTCTCTCAACGATCTTGGTCGAGTTTTTAGTCGTTTTAAATGACGCGTCGACGGGGGACGGTGTAGTAGCGAAATTTCGAAAGAGACTTTTCAAATAAGTACGGTGTGACGGGTTAAAAATTGGTTAATTTGCTTCTCTGTTTCTCTTTTTATTTGAATCAACGTTCCGTGTTAAAAGTCGCATATACCAGCATATAAATATATTATTGCTTCTCTTATCATGAAATACCCTGTACATCTTAGTTCGCAGCCGCCGATAACGATTTCGAGTCGCTGTACGACGCGAGTTTGAACGTTATCGGGAGATAATTTGACTAGGTTCGATTTCTCCCGGGCGTCGCGCGCGATCGAACGATCGATCGATTTTCCGGTTTTCCACGTTGAACGTCGCTGGAAAACCGGAAAGTCCGGCCCCGACAGCTGGCGCATTGTTCATTGTTCATTGTAAAATATTAAATGTAGGCCAGGAGGGCAAGCCGCTTATCGTCGAACTAACCACTTCCCCATCGATGTGCCCAGCCGCCCATTGTCCCGTCATTATTCCAGTTAATTAATTATTAGTACGCCATGACGTCGTAATTGGCGTACAAGAGCAAAATCTGCGGGGTGTACAGGATGCGGGTAAGAAGGTTATAACCCATTTATAATGATCGCGTCCAGTCTATTACCATTGTCATCATCAAGGTCTCATCTAACGCTAGGATCGCGAGTGTTACGCTTTGATAAAGTAATAAGTGTCGCAAAAATAAATTCGATATGTTCGGTCGACAGGCATCGACGATGAAAGCGGGACTAACGTATCGATGACTAGAAATCCTATGAAATCCTACGTAATCACGACGGAGCTAACAAACGTTTGTTCGCGAGTTCATCGACTCTGAATTCCCCTTCGAATAATAATTAGGAACCTTCGCGAAACGGTTCTCATTTCGACAAGGATTATTAATTGTTCGTTGAACGTTCATACGAATCGATCGGTTCGTTGAACGAGTCATTTTCACAACCTCGTATCGTCAACGCAATTCGTCAAAGGGCGGTCCACGTTAGTATACAATGTATAACGATCCAAGTATGATTTTCTCCATAGAATCGCTCCATCCGAATCGCCTACGCGCGATATAGTATCGTATAAAAGTATGTATACGTACATAACTCTGTATGCGTACATGCACGCTTCCATCTTCTTATTTTCCGTATAACTTACGATATATTACGTATACCTGTGCGTACACCTACAAGGACGAAGGATGCCTACATTCATCTTACACGGTAGTATTTAGCCGTGTTAATATACTCGCAACGATGCGCCCTCGATCGCACGGGATCGATCACGCTAATTATTTATGTACAGTGAGTTCCATCTGTACAACGTACAAATGCATTGAACGATTATTCTTACACTCGTTTATAACTGTTCACCAAATAATCACCACACTTTGCTCCGATAGTCCTTGTTCTTCATCGATCCTGTCCGCTCGTAATCGTCCGGTTCTGCCTGTTAGTCTAATTCGATCGGTTTCTTAAAGGATTATCCGTGTGTCTGTCTAAGACCGTAACAAGAGTAGTTCGATAAAGTCTCGGTATCGATAATCAAATATTGACACGCGCTACGACCAGTAAAGAGAGCAATGAAAAGAATCTCTAACTCGATGGTACAGTTAAGAACGCCACAGAAAATAACGTCTTACAAGTCGAAAAATGTTCACCGGAAGATGCTCGAGTCAGAGGGAAAGTGTCAGCGGAGATAACGGACGAATTCCCTCGGCACCATTCGTTCTATCTTGCGAAGGATAACGAACCGTCTTGTAGCTGAGATCTCCCAACAAGTCGCCATTTTTCTTTTTAAATTTTAACAAGATTATGCACGGAAATCAATTTTTCAACGATAATCTCTCCAAGATTATCAGCGAGCAGTTTTACAACAGAGAACAAAGCTATAGTTACGAGACTATGAAAAAGTTAATTCCAAGATCCGAAGAGTACCTAGCCATTTTTTTATAACACCGGGAGTTTATCGAACTCGCACCGTATTACGCTTGCTCGTCGCGTCGTTTCGCTTTACAAATTTTGTTTGCGACTTTAACGCGAAATCCATTCGAAGCGTTTGTAAACAAGTGCTCGCGGCGAACTTGACTGCACGATCACTGTCCGAGAGCACAAACTTCTCACGTGTCTTCTACCTTTATCGAAAGTCCTATTCTTGTTCGATGTTCGTGATAAATAATCGATCGACGAGAGTTTCGACGTCGTGTCGAATTCTGGCCATATCTTTCGGTGTTTGAATTAAACGAGAGATTCAGGATTCGTTGGCAAGATAGTGGTGGTGGCGGCAGCGGCGGCTGCGCCGGAAGTGGCATTGGTACTGTTCGGCAGGAGCGCCCCGTTCTCGGTGTCTTTTGCGTTTGCATCTGCCCGAGGCCGAAAATCCTTCGAAGCCACCAGTAGGTTTCGTCGTCTTGCTTCCTTCTTTTCGCGTTCGACCTGAAATCGAATACCGATCAATGCTTTTGTTACGGGAACAGACATTTTTGTCCGAATTAAACGATCTTTTACAGGTTGTCATTAAGTTTGCCAGCTAGACAAAGTAGTTGAGTAACAGCAGTCGCGATAACAATTACATTTCGGGATTATCATTAGAAGGCGAGGATGGATGGGAAGGATTCGATTTCGATTTCAATTCCAATTTCGTTAACCAACCTTGAAGAACAATCGAAGATAGTGGCAAGGGAATGCGACGCATTTGCCGTCCTTTTCTTCGGCGTCGATATAAACGCCGCGCACGAGTATGGAGTTGCTGCAGTTAAGAAGTACGAGGAAAACGAAGCATCCCACGTGGGTGATCCAGCAGGATAGTTCCGGATTATCCGGGACCAGCCAGAGATCCAGGACGTTCCAAATGCCGCGCCAAACGTTCACCGTGCCCAGGAAACTAAGCAGAAGGAAACCATCCGCTGCTACCAAACGGGCTAGGCCCTGAAGACGGGCACACGCGTAACGCATCAGCGGTTGCAGAGAAAACGTCACCGTTACTATCACATACCCGATGGCCTGCAATTGAACATGCCAACGGTTAAGATGCGTTCGTAGAATTTGATTTATATCTATCGCTCCGTAACCACGTGGGAATTACTGGCAGTCGATTAGTTAGGTCTATCGATTTGGGATCGCTTTGGCGACGCGCGTCACGCGATGACCGACATTGCTTTCGATTTAAACAAAATATTTGTCGCCTGCACTTTCGTACGCTTTCTTTGTACCCAGCGGTATACCTTGTTGGGTCGATTAGAGTTTACAGTCGATTACGGTTTCGGCGAGAAAATGGCTCGTCGTACGAGATACGACGAGCGATCTTTCCCATTCGATTCAGTCGTAGTCGCCGCGAATGAGGAAAACGCTCGTCGATGACGTCCAAGTTTCCGTCGACGTTGGTTAGGGATTTCAGCGAATCCGTTTGCTCGATGAGTACGATGATGCGCGACGGTGTCCGTGTTTCACTGTTTTAAAGCAGCATCGCGATCGAGCGAATGCGTGAATTGGATGACCCTCGCGCAATCATCGACCCTCTTGAGAATTTACGTTGCCGCGATCATCGCGCAACGCTATCGGTTGAAACTTCTTTTAAGAATTTCAAACGGAGTTGATTGTAAAACGTGCTTGTCGAAACAATTGTAACAGGATTCCCGGAAGAACGATATCGGGTATCGCATCCGATACCAGTCTTCGATCTTTATCCGATGTTATTTTTGAGTAACAATAAATAACAATGAAACGCCAGTTATTCCGTCTAGAAAGGAAAGAAGCTTGACGCCACAAAATTTGTTTACGAGACTCTCGCGACTATGGTCAGCGAAATTGAAAAACGATTTATTTCTGTTCGCTAGTACAACTAACTATAGTATTTTCGTAACATTTTTCATCGCTCGTGCGGTGTTTCATTGATCTCAGATAACGAATTCACGTCGAAGACCGTTTATAGTTGCTCGGCTTCTAGATCTCTTATCGAATACTTTAATCGGCGAGACACCCGTCGCGCCGCGTCGCGTCGCGTCGCGTCGGGTCCCGTCGTGTCGCGTCAAATTGTTTTCATTTTTTGATTTTGATCATCTATCACGCTGCCTGTCAAACCAAAATCGGGATTTCTTTGCGCGCGAGAAAGTTATTATTGTTTCAGAGAATACGTGGCGCCAATTGAATATCATTTCTCTTCTTTTCTTTTTTTTTCTTTTCTTTTCTTTTCTTTTCTTTTCTTTTCTTTTCTTTTTCTTTCCTTTTCTTTTCAACGGAATTTTCGCATAAATAAGGAAACTTGTTACCGTGTACGAATGCAAGCGACGAGTACGTAGAAGATTGATTTTGGGTTCCTCGTTTGAACAAGACTCCGAGGCATCTTGTTTGTTTGTAATATAAAATAGGAGGTAATTTAGGTTGGAATAAGACACGGCAAAAGCAACGTTAATAGCGTCCACAGGGCGTCCTGGAGATCAACGATCGTCATTATTGAAAAATTAAACAAATCCTCTCGTTGACCGCGTTCTCCACACCATATTCAGACAAGTAAATGCGAGCTGCAATAAAGTGTCTTACACATACATCAACAGTTTTGTCATGTGCCCTCGCAATCATGCAATTGGCGAATATTCAATTATACAATCGGACCAACAGCGTGCCGCTCGCGTACAGCGCGTAGGTGGCACGTTACAAAATGTCGTTCAACACGTGATTGTTAATGACACCCGACGACACGCGTCTATCGATAGGAGAAAATCGTCCAAGGAGCGATTTTGTAGATTTATCGAAATACGATTCAAGATTACGGAAAGTTTTCCACGGTGTATACGCGATAATTAGATTTATCGGATAAAACAAAAATCGTTTTTATCTATTCTTATTTCTATTACGTAAACAGTCTGTTGAGTAAACTATGAATTGAATTTACATAACCTTAATCCCTTTAAATTAATTACTTTATTTGGTAATGAAGATTTGTCCACTGCTCTGCTACTTAGTTTCTATAGAATCGAATGGGTCTTAGAGTACGGGCGAAAGTGGCGTTATTTGAAAAAAAGAAAAAGAAATTGTCGCTTACAAGGGATCCAATCGCAGAATACTCTCGATCATCCGGGAATAGATAGAGATCGATAAGTATCCAAACACCCCTCCATACGAACACGACCAAGGTACCGACGATAGCAACGCTGAAGGCACAGTCCAATAAGTACAACGACCAGTCTCTCGTATTCTGCAATCAAACAACATAAACGATAGATAAGCGTCAATTGTAGATGAGAACTCGGGAAATATTTGAGGAGACTCGGGAACTAACGATAACCAACATTCCGCGATTGTCACGTACCCGACAGATTATTATTATTATTATTATTATTATTATTATTATTATTATTATTATTATTATT